TGGGGTGAGGCACATGGCTAAAAGGAGGCACATGGCTAAAAGTTGGCAGCTGCAAATCCTCCTGAGCAGGGTTCGGTGTTGGACGGGCTAAGGACTCCATATATGTTCAATTGGGCTGAAATTTGGATATGTTATAGTACACACCCATTGGAACAACTTTCATGAAGATCTTCACCTCATCCGAGCCCCAGAGCATGCTGATCCAAGGCCAAGAAGTTGACCTACGAAACTGGGCTGGCAAGGGGCTGTAGCCAAAATTAGTTTGTCTTTAAGCTCTTCTTCCATTCACCCAAATCAGGCCTTAACATGCATGGATTGCATCATTTCCTATCCAAAGCCATCATTGTTACCTAAAGCTCAATGAACTGAAAGATAAACACAAAAAGGATTAAAAGCACAAGTTTAACTAAAAAACATAACCAAATCATAAGCTAGAAGGGTACGAAATGATATACAATTATGAACCGATCAATCATATCTACGCCAATCTGCATTTCTTGTGCTACCCTTTAGGATGAACAGAGAGAAATTGTGCAAGTATTTTAATCTTTATCTCATCTCCTTGGTTTTTCCTGATCCTAAACTACGGCCTTTAAAATGTAATTTAATAAAGAAGGCCGTATGACGCGTAGGACCTAAATTTATTAGTTTTCTAATATATTTGTTAGTTTCTTAGATTCTCTAGTTTTCCAAATTCTAGTAGGATTTCTACTTTTCCAAATTTTTAGTTTTAAGTTTCCTATTTTATTTGGGTTAGGATTTCTGTTTAAGCAAGGGATTTTTATCATATTATGTCTAGGTTTTAGTTTGCTATAAATAATCCCATGTAGTTCTTTAAAATTTAGATTTGGATATTGAGTAAACCTTCTCTTAAAATTATGTGATTTCTGTTCTTCCTTCTCGGTTCTCTGATTTCGGTCCTTTCTTTCGTCGCTTCAATCTATATTTTCGTCTCCTCGATCTTTTATATTCTTCTATGTTCTATTGTTTGAGTGCTTAATCTAATACCTACGGGTTGTACTACATCACTACGCCAGAACAATTCGGTTCGACACAGTGAAAAGCATTTAGGACCAGGTACTACATCTCTCTTAGTTAGATTATACACTCAAACCAACAGGCCTTTGATATTAATTTATTGAAAGAGAACAGTTTGTTTTCATGTTTTTCAAAATATTACCACTATTTTTACTTTCCAATATCTAAATCATATCCACTGAACTTGCAGTCTTAAACGAAAACATAATGAAGAAGTCAAAGAAGTGGGCACAACAACAATACACCAATATAGACAAAGAAAATTACAAGATGAAGAACAAAAGTGGGTTCTTCCAACCACTAGAAAGAATCTTTCTCTTCTCAACCCAAATTCTCAATAGAGAATCCCCAATTACACCCATGACTCACAAGGTCACATGCCCTAAACCATACGCCCTAAAAGTAGGGGGAAAAAACAAGGGCTAACCGGCAAAAAAAAAAGCTACAAAACAGGGTGGGAAGACCAAAAAGAGCTACAAAATCATGTACAAGGCAACTTTAGAAAACAAAACTGCATCCGCGTGGCTCGAGCAGTTTTGCAACATCACGAAATCGTGCTCTCTGGACTGGAAAATGTAGCTGGAGAACTGGTGCATATCCACTCAATTGGATTTTCTGCAGAATGTTCCCTCGCACATTTCTTGAGCTGATTAAGCACTTGGGCTCCATGATTGAGCAAACTAACTTCTTTTCTTTGGCAAATTTACTTTTTTTTATTTTTTATTTTTTTATTTTTATTTTTATTTTTACAAAAGTGAGCAAATCAACTCCACATGCTCCTCTTGATTGAGATGCAATGATCCCATCCTAGCACAGTTTGCAAAAATTTGAAGGTGCATTAACGAACTGAAGTCATTTCCACTTAATAGAGTCTTCATAACAAATGTTGTTAACCCGTATCGCTCTCGTATAGTGTATAGCCTGGACCTGGATTAAGGTCAGGAATTATACCAGATCTTCGGGTTGAGATGCTCTCCGGAAGTGACCTGCACACTTCGAACAACTATCATAATAGGGGCGAACTAGGGTTTGTCTCAGTTGAACTCCCTCTGATGGTTAAGTCAGAAGTGGTTCGAAGATAGAGAGAATGGATGTAGGGTTTGTAAGGTGAGAATATTTATTACCTTTGTCCTGATGTTGGTGAAAGGTATTTATAGAGGGTAGAAGGAGAGACAAAGATATTTTAAGAAGGAGATATTTATCTTCCCTCTCCCAAGTGGGACAGGAGTACATTAAATGACCTGTTCTAATCACCATGCTATCTGTCAGGGATTGTGTGATAAAGCGACATGTGGCTTTGGATGGGAAGTATATTAAATGATCCCTCTCCATCACCATGCTGCTTATTGGGGATCAAAGGGTAAGGCGACACCTAGGGAAATGCATTAACTGAACTCTTTCACTTGCCAAGCTGTTTATCAAATGGACGGAGTGACTAACCTGACAGGAGTCTAATCATGCTTGATGAGCATTAAATGCACCTCTGGTCGTACACGGTACCCCAGTGGTCTCGGGTCGGTATCAGGACGCTCGAGCGTCAATTTACCTTTTGCTCAGTCAGGTCTTGGTCGGGAGACCTTTGTTTTGATACCCGAGACATCCCGTTCGCTCAGGTAGGTGTACGTTTAACGTAGCCATCCATGGCCATGTGGTGATTTGAGATAGGCTCGGCTCACCATGATGATGGTATGGGCCATTAACAAATGTAGTTGCTTTATAAGTCCAAGTTGATGAGAAATTCAATTGGAGCTGAGGCACACTGGAAGAATTGAAAACTACTTAGAATATGATTACAAAATTTGAACCTGCAGATTATATCAAAATTATAAAAAATTATTTCGATTTAACGCTCATGTATTTTTGTTCTATTTATGTTCCTCTATTTGATTGTCAGGGTTAGGCGTTGACCACTTCTTTGCACGCTGGCTAGCCTTCTGAGCCTGCAAAATCGATCCAACAGTATAAATATTGGATAGGAGAATAACTACAGTTGGGCTAGCAAGCATTCAGAATAAGGAGAAGTAAATACAAATTCTTATACCTCCTTTTCCCAATCATGTCGTATTAGCACGATGGCCAAAATCACCGTTTGCACAGCAGTTCCACCAAAGATCATCCCACCCCATATACCCTGTTTTATAATAATTTGCACAAGCTAATCAATTATTTAAATATA